TGGCCGCTGTGATACAATTGTATAATAAATTGTGTGTTGTCCCAATTGTAATTGGAGCCCTTGGAGCAATACCTAAAGGGCTACCTCGCTATTTGGAAATTTTAAATTTATCAGACTTGAACATTCTGATTCTACAAAAAACCACCCTACTTGGAACAGCTTATATCCTCCAACGTTACCTTAACAGTTCCTAGGTCCTTGGTTAGGACTCGAGCAGTTAAGCTACCAACCAGCCCCAAAGGCTGTGAATCTCGCCAAAGATTAACCACGCAATAATAATAAAAGTTCTAAGCTCTCTCCACTTTGCATGATTATGCAAATTTTGCAGGCCTTGGAAAGCCATGCAAAATTAAATGAAATCTGGCTGCCAAAGTATTACTTTAACTCCTGTCTTTCCAGAAATTAAATGTTTGGTTTGGAACACTCATATCTGTCCTCATTTTCATCCAAGATGCACTCGAATGGTTCATTTCTCTCTTGCAATCTTATTCACAGTCTTTGTCTATGAGACTACCTGCAAAGAACTTGATGATTGACTTAATTGACTCACCTTGTCAATGAAGGACGCAAACTTGTTGTTGAGGGTCTTGATCTGTTCCCTTTCATGTTGCCGCACTTTTTGAAGTTCAGGATCAATCTCCAAGTGCAGTGGCGATAGGAGGTTGGCATTGACAGTCACTTTCTGGATGCCCCCAGGAGGGGGCATGGTCCCCATTCTTAGTCCACCATCATAGCCTCCTACTCCCAAACCTAAACCTCCAGCTCCATATCCATAGCCACTACCAAATCCTCCTCCTCCTCCACCACCACCACTACCATATCCTAGGCCACTCCTAAAGCCTCCTCCAACGCCACCATGGCTGATTCCAAAAGAGATTCGTTTGCCACCCCCCAGATTGTAGAGGCTTCTACTACCAAAGCCCCCACCCAATCCTGAGCTTCCCTTCACACCACGGGATAATGAAACGGAGCTGAAACTAGCTTTTGTCCCACTAGGAACGACAGTAGTGGAAGAGGTATATCCCCGGGAAGTCCTAATCCCTCCCCCAGATCTAGAACTGAATTGCCTACTCATTGTGCCTAATTCAAAGAGTGCTAAAGAGAGCTGAGCAGAAGTTGGGCTACAGAAGGAAGGAAGGAAGAGAGAGAAGGACAGCACACCCCTCTCCGAGGTGCAGTTTTGGTTTCCCCTATATATATATACACATCTATATGTGGCGATGGGCTTGGCTGGAATTAGGTAATTAATTAAGTATCAGATCGTTACTGGGCTGGGTTATATCTGGGAGCAATAAAAAAATCCCTTCAACTTGTCTTAAAGGTGCCTTTGAAGTGAAGTGCTGCCTTAAAATTGCTTAGCTTGCAGGCTTACAAAACCCATGTAGGCTAACAAATTAATTTTCCACCGCCTCTACGCATAAACCAAAAAATAATTAACATAGTTGACAACAATTTTTTTTATTCTTAAAAAAAACCATTTGCTTTAATTGTGGATGATTATTAGATGCCATACTTCAAAGCTGTGTTCCCACCCCTAACCCTGCACCGCCCCCAACCTCCCCTGCCACCATTGGCTGAAAATCTAAAATCTATAGCACAGCACAGGTATTGCAGGTGGTTGATTGCTTCCCCTGAGGGGAATTTGACGCAATTCTCTTGCTTACTCCTCAGGATATGTTTGAGAGAGCTTTTCCCATTTCTTGGAACAGGATCAGTTCTTTTTCTAGCCCTCGGCCAATCTCATCCATGCTTTAGGCAATAAAACTCTAGCTTCTGGTCTTATGAGTCAGAAAGGTTACCTTTTGTCCAGCACTGCTATCAAACACATGCTTCTATCAGTTCTTCTGTTGTTGTTGAACTACAACTCCCAGCAGGTGTAATCAGTATAGTCAATGGTGAAGGATGTTGGGATTTTTAGTTCAACCACAGCTAGATCCTATAAGGCCTCAGACCTGTTTAGCTGAACTGCAAAAAAGGAAGGATTCCCAACTCACAGTACCTTTTCACTGAGAAGGTCAGTAGCAATAGGTCAAGTATTTATTTTATTTTATTATTTTATTTTATTTAGTTATTTAGTTATTTATTTAGTTATTTATTACTTTGTCAAACGTGTACAGGATAGCAGGTATAAGTATGAACATGGACATGAACCAAGGAAATGAATACAAGTAAATGGGGACAGTAGGACAGGGATGGTAGGCATGCTGGTGCGCTTATGTATGCCCCCTTTACGGACCTCTTAGACAGTTTGAGGTTGAAGCTATGAGGGTTTGAGGATGTAACAATGGAGGTGGGTAGATCTTTCCTTAAAATGAACGAGAGCATGCCATTATTTTGAATCTGAGGGTGGCTCTTAGTTTGAAATGGTAGACTGAAAGCCACTTTCCAAGAGTTTTATGGTCAAGCTAAGATGCTAAGACTGTTGAGAGTGTCCTGAGAAGTATTGGGTTCTGAAAGTTAGCCATGTATGATGCACCTTCAAGGAAATGCCTCATCTATTCCAGAATGCCCCCTTAATTTAATTTGTGGAATAACCATCCACACAAGCCTAATCCAAACTTCCAGGTAAACCTAATTTACACCAATCAAACAGTTCTTCTGCTTGTGGAGAATCTTCCTCCCATAACTGCAAGATCAGACTTTTCTTTCCCCATGAAACTTGCAATGAATAACCACCAACCAGTGACAGGACCACTGGACGTCTGACGGAAAAAATAAGGCAGCAGCTAAAGCAGAGGTGAAATCTAAAAAAAATTTCTACTGGTTCTGTGGGCATGGCTTGGTGAGGGTCATGTGACTGGGTGGGCATGGCTATGTAGTCATATGACTGGGGGTCAAAAGACAGAAGCTCACTTTAACAATGTCCTACTGGAGCAGGGGGTTGGACTAGATGACCTCCAGGTCCCTTCCTCCAGGTCCCTTCCAGGCCTGGGTTACTGTGCTTTTTCAAGGTATCCTCTGAAGCTGCGTCTAGTGCCAGGTTTGTGATCCTTTAAAGCATTTTTTCCCTGTCTATTCACCCAAAGGGACAGGGAAAAATGCGTTTAAAAGCGGGGAGGGGGGAGCTTCTGATGATCTCAGCTGTGAGCCGCACATCCTTGGAAGATTTTTTTTTTTTTTACTATTAGTTTGCAGAACCAAAGAAAATCGTCCCTATGGGTTCGGGCCGAACTGGGAGGATTTCACCCCTGAGCTGAAGGCCTGTTGTCTCTAATTGTTTGGAGTATAATGCACAGATTCTTTCAAGGTCCAAAGCTAGAAACAGATGGTGGTAAGGAAAGGCAGTGAACCTTCTTTTTTAAAAAAGATAAGGACGCTGGGTACATCAGAATTTAACAGCCTCATATACTTTCTGAAATGATGAAACATGAGTAGCTACAAGCCAGAGATCTCCCACCCTATTAACCCCCACCCCCACTCCACCCCAAAAAATATGATGTACATCCTCTTCATTCTGCTTACTTGGTACATTTCTGCGACCCACTTTATCTCCTGAGCTAGCAAAATCCTAACCCTGATCACATATCCCAACTAAATATCTTAATATATATTACGCATCATTTACTATTCAAATACTCAAGAGGCAAAATGCTATACCCCTGATGGAAAGCATGACAGGACCTGATTAGCAACTACTGTTCTTTTCTTTTTTTTAAAGAGATTTAAAACAAGAACTCAGTAGCTTCAGCTGGAGGCAACAAGAGTTGCAGCTGTGAAATGAAGCATACAGAAAATACAGGTGTAGAAGCAGAATATTAGACCTGGCTAATCTAAGAACTTCATATTATTTGGCTATTTCAACAATTGACCTAGCCTTTGGTCTTTGTAGTTGCATCATGTTCATACTGAAATCCCAAACAACCACTAAGAGCCAGTTTGGTCTACGGTGGTAGTTAAGGCATCAGAATATCATGAGTTCAAGTCATGCCTTAGCCATGAAAGTCAGCTGGGTGGCCTTGGGCCAGTCTCATTCACTCATTCTATCTCTCACCTCATGGGGCTGTTGTGAAGAAAATAGGAGGAGGAAGGTGTATTGGATATGTTTACAGCCTTGAATTGTTTGTAAAAAATAATAAAGATGAGATATAAATAAGTAAGTCAGTGTTTCTCAACCTTAGCAACTCTATGATCTGTGGACTTCAGCTCCCAGAATTTCCTAGCCAGGAAGAAATAGGTAACCTGAAATTGAATCTTCATATTATCCGCAAAAGGAAAGAAAAATATTGAACCTACAGCTACTTCCTTAAGGTTAATATAAATAATCGGCTAAGTTCCCTGGGGGCCTAAAAATATCACCATTTCTTTAAAACATCCCTACTCACCCTCATGAAACTATACTTGATATGTTATATGTTAATGTAGTATAAGTATATATGTTATATTACACTAAGCTGTAACTGTATCCCCAATCTCTACATAAACCCTCTTTTAATGCTTTATGTTAGGACCTCTGGCTTTTTTTTAAGGTAACAGACAAATGAAGCAATGCCAAATTATTTTTGAAAACTGGCAAGAAATCACTCTCTTGACAATAAGGTTGGAGGAAATTAATATAACTGAGGGAAATCCACCCTAGCCTTTGGCGATACCTCTGTAGAATTGGCAGTAATTTTACAACCCAGGCCAGCATGCATTCAAGTCAGAAGCTGGGGGGGCAGAGACCAAACTATCTGGGGCAGGTGAGTCCTATCGGATTACATCCAGACCCTGCGGCCATTTTGCTGCTTCAAACTGCCATTTGCCTGAGGTAACAAAGGGAGAATTTTATTAAAATTGCTAGCGGGGAGAGGTGGAATGTTGCTTTTAGAAAGGAAGGAATCGGACCCAAAACCCATTTTCCTACTTATATCTAGCCTGTAAAGACTCCTATAGAAAGATCTGGGGAGAAAAAAGACTAAAGCTTTATCATAGCCATTGGGCTCCATAGCATAGCAGTTTTGCTATGTCTGGTTAGTCCAGGGATAGTCAACCTTTTTATACCTACCACCCACTTTTGTATCTCTGTTAGTAGTACAATTTTCTAACCACCCACCGGTTCCACCGATTTATAAGGTAGGGAAGTAACTTTACTTTATAAAATTTATAAAGCAGAGTTACAGCAAACCCCTACTGCCCACCATGAAAGCTGGAATGCCCACTAGTGGGTGGTAGGGACCAGGTTGACTACCACTGGGTTAGTCCAACACACAGTCTCTTTCTTATGAATGTATTTGTTTGTTCCATCCATGTATATATAGCAGGGGTAGGTTCCAGCAGTCACTACTGCCGGTTCGCTCATGGGCATGCGTGCTTGATGCGCGCTGTGTGTGCAAGTGCAATGCAAAAAAAAATTGCTCAGGGATGTGGCAGGCCTGGGTTGCTGCCGGTTCTAGCAACCCAGGCTGCCAAACCACTACCGGTTCAACTGAACCGGTAGGAACCCCCCACTGATATATAGTACTGTCCCTACAGGGCTTCCTTTGAGTCCACACACTTTTACTTTTCATAAGGTTCATAAAAGTCATAGTGTTTGGTGACTGCAGGAGATTGTTAGGATCCATTTGAAGGTGATGGTTCCTTTTCCCTTACTTGGCATCTTGCATCCAAAATGATGTTGGTTAAGCTAAGTCTGTCAAGGAAATAATAATTTCCAAACATTACTTTATTTCCCAGTGGTTCTCCCAATTAACTAGACAATGGTAGCGTTTTATTTTGCAGTTGCAAACCATAAACAATTGATCAAATGTGGTACCTCATCAGCAGACAGGCTGAGTGGAGAGCCCCTGATACAAAGACATAGCTACACATATATGAAATAATTTGTAAATATTTGTTTGTTGCCCATTGGCTATTCAATTACCCTGACAATAGTAGGAAAACAACTAGAATAGGAGGCAGGATAATTAGGTATGTTTGCTGCCTTGAGTTATATATAAATAATGTAGAATAAAATAATACTGTAATAACATCTTTTGCTAAAGAATATGCAAACCAAGTTACATCATGATTTCCATAGTAAAATCAGCAAAAGCCAAGAGTAAGTTTCCATTATTGACCTTTCAGTTTTAATTGCCATTAGGCAATCCATGATTCATT